ACAATTTTAAATAAGCAAAAATAAATAATACTGAGTGAATGTTTTGGGATATATTTTAGTGGTTCCAGGAGGCCATGACCCGCGTCTGCGATACGGCGATGCCTAGGGCTCAGCCCAATACTGCGAGGCGCCAGGTCTACTGGTGGTCGCCGGAGATCGCACGGCTGCGTCAAGCCTGCGTGACCGCGCGCCGCCAGTGGTCCAGGTTCAGCAGGAGGCGTCGCCGCCCCGAAGATGCGGCAGCGAGAGAGGCGGAGCTGTTAGCGGGTTACAGGGTTGCCAAGAGGACCCTTCAGGCAGCGATAAAGCGGGCCAAGAGCGAGGCCCGCCGCGAGATGCTGGAGACACTGGAGCGGGATCCGTGGGGACGCCCCTACCGTATGGTTAGGGGCAAGATGCGCCCATGGGCCCCGCCGCTCACACGGTGTCTTCAGCCAGAGCTGCTTGAGAGGGTCGTTGGCTACTCCGCCACAGATGGCTCCGCCTCCGGCGCTTGAGGCGCCTAACGTGGATGACGACGACGTGCCTGAGGTCACTGGGGTGGAACTAAGGGTGGCGGTGTTACGGCTTAAAGCCAAAAACACCGCCCCGGGACCCGATTGCATTCCTGGCCGAACGTGGGTCCTGGCCTTAGTCGACGAGGCTCTCGAGCCCCGACTGCGAGGGTTCTTCAGCGCATGCCTCGAGCGGGGCCAGTTTCCGAAATTGTGGAGGACGGGGAAACTGGTCCTCATCCGAAAGGAGGGGAGCCCGGCGGACTCACCGTCCGCCTACCGGCCCATAGTGTTGCTTGACGAGGTGTGCAAGCTCTTTGAAAGAGTGATTGCAAGGCGCCTCGTCAAGCATCTCGTGATGGTTGGGCCGGATCTGGCGGACAACCAGTACGGTTTCCGTCAGGGGCGCTCCACCGTGGATGCGATCATGCGCGTGAAGGCTCTGGCGGAGGAAGCAGTCTCCCGGGGCGAAGTGGTGTTGGCGGTGTCCTTGGACATCGCCAACGCGTTCAACACTATGCCCTGGAGCTGCATCAGGGAGGCGCTCGTGTATCACGAAGTGCCTCTCTACCTCCGCCGCATAGTCGGGGCATATTTGTCGGAGAGAGCCGTCGTCTACCCCAGTAGGACCGGTCTCGGTAGGCGTGAAATGTCGTGCGGTGTTCCGCAGGGGTCGTTGTTAGGGCCACTCTTGTGGAACATCGGCTACGACTGGGTGCTTCGTGGTGCCTTCTTGGATGATGTCGCCGTCGTGTGCTACGCGGAGGACACACTCGTGACGGCGCGCGGCAAGACGCACCACGAGGCAACCCTGAGGGCCACGGCCGGGGTTGCCCAAGTCGTTGAGCGTATCCGGCGGCTGGGTCTCGAGGTGGCTCTGCACAAGTCCGAGGCCCTGTTCTTCCACGGGCTTCGGAGGAAGCCGCCTGAGGGATCTAGCCTCACGGTAGGAGGCACTCGCATCGGCATCGAGCCCTCGATCAGGTATCTGGGGCTCGTACTCGATGGCCGATGGGACTTCGGATATCATTTCCGAGGTCTGGTCCCCAAGTTGGTTGGAGCAGCGCGTGCGTTGGCGCGGCTGCTGCCCAACATGAAGGGACCCGATGACTCCTGCAGGAGACTCTACTCGGGGGTTGTGCGGTCCATGGCCCTTTACGGGTGCCCGGTATGGGCGGGGGCCCTGAAGGCCAGCAACGTCGCGATACTGCGACGACCGTAGCGAATGCTGGCCATCAGGATCATAAGGGGGTACCGCACGATCTCCTTTGAGGCAGCGAGTCTCCTGGCCGGAACTCCACCGTGGGACCTGGAGGCGAGAGCCCTTGCGGCACTGTATCAGTGGCGCAAGGAGGCGCAGGAGTTGGGTCGATGCCCCGAGATTCAAGAAATCGATGACCGGAAATCCCAACTCCGCCAGGTCATCATAGGGGAGCGGAGGGAACGACTCGGGCAACCGAGCGCTGGGCACGCCGTCATTGCGGCGGTAAGACCCGTTATGGAGGATTGGCTCGAGAGGCGTCACGGGACCCTCTCATACCGATTGACGCAGGTGATCACTGGGAAGGGATGTTTCGGAGATCACCTGTGACTGATCCGCAAGGAGCCAACGCCTGAGTGCCACCACTGCGATGGCCAGACCGTGGACACGGCTCTAAACACGCTGGCAGAGTGCCCGGCGTGGGTTGAGCAGAGGCGAGACCTCGTGGCGGCCATCGGAGTGGGAGTTCTCTCGCTCGATAGCCTGATTGCGGCTATCGTGCGGAGCGAGAGTGCGTGGAACTCTGCCGTCTCCTTCTGCGAGCAAGTTATGCTCGCGAAGGAGACGGCGGAGCGGGACCGGGAGAGGTTTAGAACTCTCCCGGCCCGCCAGGCCCGGGCACGGGCCAGGCAGCGCAGGCGACTCAGGCGCCGGAGGTCGCAGAACGACCTCCGTCCTCCATAAGCGCAGGCCGGGGTGGCGGCGAGCGCGTTGCGAAGCGCGCTCGCTTCCCGGGAGCACAGGGAACATGGGGTTCCCACACGGGGCGGGGGTCGTCTACTCGTCTGTAGATGACCCGAGGTATGTCGGGGCACCAGGGCCTTCCTTTCTAGGGTATACCTGGTTCCCCGGCTATTAGTACCCGGCGAAGGTGTGCGGTTTTAGTCGGTTCGAGTCCGACATGCCAACGACAGGTGGTATCCGAGGGGAATTCCGCACGGAAAAAAAAAAAAAAGGGCTGCAATCCGTCCGGGTTTCCCCGGATTTGTCCTAGTTGGGAAGACGTCCGGGCGGGGTTTAAATTGTAGTCCGGGTGCAACTCGGACTACAATTTAAGTCCGGGTTTTCGATCAGATCCCATTCCCATAATTTATGTAAATAAAAGCTATGGGTTACGTATTTCACTGCGATTGTTAAACAAGTTTTCATTTAATTTTATTAACTGAGTAACTAATATTGGGTTTGTTTATCTTCTATTTAATACCTAAGAAGGTTAAAAAATAAAGCAAAATTGCTCACTTGTCGTCACAAGAACGATTAAACACACTAAGTAGGTATTTCATGCATCAATAGAGGCTTAAAATTAAAGTTTTCTTCTATCAACGGAGTAAAATATATTTTTATCAAGATGTAAGTTAATGAAAAAAGTATTGAAATGTCCGGGGTGTAAGCTCTTAAATCCGGGGAACTTACGCTTCCGGTCCCGGGGGCAGGTTTTAGAGATGGCAGCCCTAGTTTTATGTGTCAAAATCCACTTTTTAGATTGTTCAGACTTTCAGACTATAGAGTGCCAACATGACCATGGGAATCAATTACTATTTAAAAAAAAATTGATTTATTATCTAAAATACTTTCACATGCCATAATTGTTTTTGACTGGCTTGCTGGTAGTGATCCTCACTGCAGAGCCAGAGGTCATGGGTTTAATGACGACGAGCACATTATTTGGGAAGGTACATCATGTATGAAAGGTGACAAAGTATCTATGTGGATTGAGAAACCATTATTATGGTGTCCATGTAATATTTAACAGAATCGGTCAAGTAATAAAACAATAAAATTAAATTGAAGAGGGTCCCTTCAATTTCAGAAAAAATAAACAAGAAAATTACTGGTTCTAAATTTTTAATAATTTGGGGGCATTCGGTAATAAAGTTAAAAAACTGTAGGTAAATCATCCCAAGTTCTTTTGGTCTCACTTAAAAAACCTCCGAAGAGGTAGTGAAACCTCCGTAAGCTTGACCCGATGGTTTGCGGGACGCGGGGCGGGTGATGCGTGGCTAAACACGACACGATGTACTAACTCGACTTCACTTCAGGTGTATTTGTTTGAGATTTAATCTACACACGATGCAATAAAAATCGAATTTATTTTCATGTATTATAATTTCAGTATATTGTAAGTTTATTATTATTAATCGTTAATGATTAATTACAAAATTTTAATACTTGTAAAATGATTTTAATAAATCACCTTATCTTTATCGTGTAGGTAAATTATATTCAGATATAATTTCATAATAAAGAAAAATAATCAATATTCCTAGTAGAACCTTTGTAAGCCGAACTTCAAGGCAGACGCCAAATAATTCGAGTTATAAAGTTTTAGATTTACGGAGGCATTCGACTTGGCGGATTTTGTAAGGAAATATTCGACTTATTATGGTTTAGATTATTTCTTTGATCATTCGCAATTTTTATCATGATGTTGGATTCGTTTTTGAATATTGTTAACAGAGTAGGACTCATTGGTAGTCCTAATTTTTAGTGTTGTGACACCCACGGGATGAATAGAGGTGTTGATACTCCGTATTCTTAATCCGTCACCACACGGATAATCGACAACTTCTACTGTATATTAATCAAGTAACTTAAAATAAAAACAAAAGGAAACGTTTATTAAAAAAATGAAAATTAATCTAAATGTTCTTGAATCTTTTTGCTACGCAGTCGACAGATATCAATGTTGCAAAATAATACCGTGTGTAGCAGTCTTAAGAAAAACAACAAGCACAACCATGCTTTCACGTCAGTCACTGCCGACGGACAGCGACACACTAGCCAATTGGTTGATGTTACTGTATGGTAATAAGGTCATTTCCAATTTATTCGCAGAAGTGTGTTGGGTGTAAATATTATCGATCGCATCAGTAGGTGATTTTTGGTTCTTTTTTTAACCGTAACTATAAATATTCAAATCTCTATAGATTTGAATCTATTAGGAGACAGTCATTTTTCTAGTTTATGGAAAGAATGTTCATCCAAGTTGCGTAGTGTAGGAAAGTAGTGGTAGTGGTGTAACAAAAATAAACACGTACATTTGTCTGTTCGTTTATTGCGTTGAATTAATCAATAATGTTGCCAACTCAAAACAAAAGTTACATTTTGACATTCAACTATTGTTGCGGATATTATATTTTATTCTTTATTAAATAAAATACTTTTGACTGTTAAATAAAAGTAGCGAAACCAGCGGGTTTAATATTAAAACATTAATCTAAATAATTGGTAGGTCTTTTATAATTCTAGTTGAATTTGCATTTTGAGAAGTCCATTTCAGGATGCTGTTCCATAAACCTGTAAAACATAAAAAGAGCAATAAGAATTTATGAAGAACTGTCCTTAAAACTATTACATGTGGGTCAAATAAATAAATAGAGGTAGGATGTGTCCGATGGAGATGATATCTGCGTCTCGGTTAGAAAGAGCAAGGCCGGCTTTACTGTCTCGAGGTGGTGATGGACAGCGTTGAGGTTGGAGTGAAGGCCCCTTATATTGCAGAAATTCACGTCAAGCGTGACATGGGGTAGCCTGATGTGCCTGCCCCCGCCGCGGGCAGATATCCTGACGAGCGCTGTTGCGCCATATCCACGCCCAGACGTATGGTGTTCTAAGCGTGGACGTCCAAAGGGGGATTCTCCAACGCTAACGCAGCTGGTACCCCCCTGGGGTAGATTATTTTTCAACGGCGCTATCATGAGGGGGGGATATGGGGGGGGGGGCTCCGGAAACCTCATTGACTCGGTAAAATGCAACAGAGAAATTGCTTTACGACCGGTTTTCTGTGAGGCCGTAGTTTCGCACCGGTCGAGCCGGCCCAGTTCACTGCTTTCTTGCTAGGGCTGGAGTGTGCGTGTACGTTAGAGGTGATATCAGTTCGCGCCGCCTCAGCAATCTTGAAGGACGGGACCTTTCCATCTAATGGCTCCGTGTAGACAGCGACGACCATCCCCGCGTCTACGCATGCCTCTACAGGTCCCATAGCGGTGACACCGAAACTGACCGACTGTTGGACCACGTCCAAATGGCTACAGATTCCGTGATGCAGCAGATCCCATCCGCGGAGATCGTGATACTTGGCGACTTTAACGCTCACAACGCCGAATGGCTTGGCTCACGCAAGACCGATCACGCGGGGAGATCTGTTCACGATTTCGCCCTGACCTATGGTTTGTCACAACTGGTATCAACGCCCACGCGAGTTCCGAATGTGGAAAGTCATGAGCCTTCACTGTTGGACCTTCTGCTGACCTCCAATCTGGACGGTTACAAAATCGCCGTTGAAGCCAAACTTGGCTCCTCGGATCATTGTCTAAAACGCAGTACAGTGCCACTCACGTGCTTGCCGCGGCCGCGAGTTGCAGGCTGCCGCCGTGGGTGGCACTATAGGTCAGCGGACTGGGATGGAATGCATTCCTTCTTTGCGTCCTACCCATGGAGGCAGATCTGTTTCTTGCCGGATGATTCCACCGTCGTTGCCAATTCTGTCACTGATGTACTTCAGGGCAGGGAACTATTTGTTCCTTCTACATTAATTACCATCGGTGGCAGATCCAAGCCCTGGTTCGACAGATCCTGCAAAACGGCGTCCCGCCGAAAGCGGGAATGCTACCAAGCATGGGCAAATGCAGCGACGGCAGGCGATATAAATACCAGCACGCTAAAAAAACAATATAACTTTGCCTCCAGGTCCCTTAAAAGAGCCATTGCTAGGACGAAATCACATCAGCCGGATCGGTAGGAGGCTAGTGAGACTTCCTTCTGGAACTCGTGCATTCTGGTCTCTTGCCAAGGCTGTCCAGGGGAATTCCTGTAGCCAATCCTTTCCACCCCTGCAGATGGGAGATAATTCGTTGGCCTATGATGCCAAAGAGAAAGCTGATCTCCTAGGCAAATTCTTTGCATCCAACTCGACTTTGGATGACGGGGGAAACGTACCGCCAACCATACCGCGGTGCCAGAGCTATATGCCGGATTAGCGGTTCACACAAAAATCAGTGCGTAAAGCACTCTTTTCCCTTGACATTCATAAGTCGTGTGGACCCGATGGAATTTCTCCTATCGTGTTGAAGACGTGTGCTACGGAGTTGGCACCGGTTTTAACGCGCCTTTTTCGAAGGTAGAGTTTGTGCACCCGATCCCTAAAAAAGGTGACCGCTCTGACCCGTCCAACTACAGACCTATAGCCATAAGTCCTTTGTTCTCTAAGATTATGGAATCCATAATCAACAGCCAGCTCCTCCGGTACTTGGATGATCACCAGCTACTCAATGACTGACAATATGGTTTTCGCCGGGGTCGCTCAGCTGGTGATCTTCTAGTCTTTCTAACACACCGATGGGCACAGGCGATCGAGACCAAAAGAGAGGCTTGTGCGGTTAGTTTCGACATAGCGAAGGCCTTTGATCGGGTCTGGCGTAGGGCGCTTCTCGCGCTTCAAATTGTGTAATTGGGTCACCAGCTACTTTGCTGACAGAAGCATTAAGGTCGTTGTCGACGGTGCATGCTCCGACTTGAAATTCGTAAATGCTGGTGTCCCACAAGGCTGTGTGCTATCACCCACACTGTTTCTTCTGCATATCAATGAAATGTTGCAAACTAGTGGCATCCATTGCTATGCAGATGATAGCACAGGAGATGTCCTTTATACCGGCCTCCCCAATTTTTCTTTGGAAAACGTCATCAAGAGTCGAAACAAACTCGTGTCTGATATTGAAACTTCCTTAGCGGAGGTTTCAGATTGGGGCCGACTAAATCTGGTCCAGTTTAACCCAAAAAAGACACAGGACTGTGCGTTTACCGCAAAAAAGATACCATTTGTCGTATGACCTCAGTTTGAGAGTACCTCCCTAACTGCCAGCATCAGCATCAGCCAGCATCGGAATCCTAGGCATCGACATATCGAGCGAAGTCCAGTTTCGGGGTCACTTAGAGGGTAAGGTCAAATTAGCCTCGAAGAACTCCGGCCCACCGCCTTCAGTTCTATAAGGCGCAAGTCCGGCCGCATATGGAATACTGTTCTCATCTCTATGCAGGGGCACCTCAGTACCAGCTTCTCCCTCTGGACCGCATCCAACGAAGAGCGACTCGAATCGTCGATAGCCCAAACATTTCCGATCGGCTTGATCCCTAGAGACGTCGGACGATCGGCGTTACGTAGAGATGTGGCTTCACTCTGCATTCTCTATCGCATATATCATGAAGAGTGCTCCGAGGAATTGTTCGCTTTTCGAGACACTTTGCCCAGCACAACCAATCTGTGGAACGGGTTATCGTCTGCGGTATTTCCGGACCGATACGACCTTCATGAAAAGAGCGTACTCCTTCCTAAAAGGCCGGCAACGCGTTTGTGACTCCTGAGTTGTAGACGTTCATTGGCGGCGATAGTCACTTTCCATCAGGTGACCCGTCTGCTCGTTTGCCCCCTCTAACATAAAAAGAAAATGATATTAATATACACGTTTAGGATATTTCAGTAGTGGAACCGGCTGAGTGAATGGGTTGTGATTTTGCGTGGTATAGTAGACTAACACCTCTTTTCTAAGGAGAGGCCTATGTCCAGCAGTGGACTAGTAAAGGCTGTTGATGATGATGAGTGATGATGATGAACCAAAAACAGACAACGCTTTTAGCCCTTGTTTACTGCCGATCGCTAGATGAGTGATATCCGATTTTATAATAAAATCCCAAATAATTTTCAAGAGTTAAGTATTAACAAATTTCAATCCGCAATAAAATGTGGCTTGTGCCAGAGGGCCTACTACTCAATTGTGGATTACATGAAAGACAAGAATGCTTGGGATTAATTAATTAGCGCAGGCTATTTCTTTCTGAAGTAAAAATGTGATGTGGCTAGTGTGTTTTTTATTACTATTGTTTTTCTATTTTTTATGTTTCACTTCATTTTCTCTTTTATTCGTGTTTTTTTTTTAAATCTTGTTTTCTCTTCATTGTCTTTTTTACCTTTTAGTACTTAATAACGGAAATACTGGCACACATCAAAACAATGTTGTAGTATATTTAATAGTATCTATCTGTAAATTGCAAAAGAGTGGTCAAGAGTTTGTTTGCCCTTTCTTCTCATAAGGCTGAACCCCTTGGAAACGGGCGGTTGTAGATGGGCACAGGCATATCATAGATTTTGTATGGGTTTGGTTTTTGTTAAATTTATTTGCTTACTATTTGACAAAACAGAGATTGTTGCTTTTGTGTGTGTCGATCTTTGACTTTAGAGACACATTAAAAACGATTACAATCAATTTTTTTTTTATGAAATAAAGAGAGTTTGAGTTTTGAGTTATGTTTCACAGTAGATTTGTTGTCACCAGGTATTTTGGAATTGGTTGTGGGCTTCGGTATCCGTATTTAGACTCAGGTGGTCCTTTATGCGTCGAGGACTGGATAGCTTGAGGACTTGAGTCAGCACCAGTTTGGACTGTCGCAGCCGGGTGTTTTTCCACCTCCGGTTATGTACTTCACGAGTCCGTTGCCTGGAATCGTATTTGGTTAAACGGTATGAGTATGGCTGAGTATGGCTGGGCCGGTAGCTGGGGTTGCCGAGCCCCTCCTTGTCAACTAATCTGCGGCATCGTTCCCGTATTATGCATTTTAATCCATTGGAGGAGTACGACATTTAATGTGGCAAGCTGCTCCAATGCTTGATGGCATTCGAAGACAATACCAGAGGTCATTGTGTTTGGAATATGGAACTGTGTTGGCCTAACGCTAGTGATATGTTCATATTCAGGTCTTGCGAGAAAACTCCGGCTCCAGTTCCTGACCTAGTCTTGGAACCGTCCGTGTAAATTCGGACTTCGTTAATGCCGGATTGATCTCGGTCATTTTCTTGTATCTGGATGTGGTATCTTTTTGTGAAGATATGGTGTTTTGGGATTATATCGCATGAGGCTGCTATTAGTGGTTCGTATTTCACCAATTGATACCATATTTTGGTGTGCGATCCCGCACTTTTATGCCATAGGTCCAGGTGTCTGAGTCTAATGATCGCCTTGGCGGCCTCCTGCTGTATGAATAAATCCAGTGGGGCAGATCCAGAGCCACCTCCAGTGCGGCAGTTGGCATTGTGCGCATACAGCCAGTGGCTGCAGAGCATGGGAGTCGCTGAAATTGCTGCAATGTGCATTGCAATACCTAGGAGTAATACTGTATTACTCCTAGGTATTTGAGCTCTTTTGTCCGTGTAGTGACGGATTAAGAATACGGAATGTCACTACCCCAATTCATCCCGTGGGTGTCGTAAGAGCCGACTAAGGGCGCAAAACAACGCAGGACACCAGCACTGCAAAAAGAAGGAAAACTTGACACAAACCCTATACCAACCCGCCTGGCCAGCGTGGTATAGTAGGCCAAAACCTTCTTTCTAAGGAGAGGCCTATGTCCAGCAGTGGACTATTAAAGGCTGTTGATGTGATGATGTGATGTGATGTGATTTGAGCTCTTTGGTAAGAGCAAGTTGCGTCCCAAATAGCTTGGGAAGTCTGAGGTTTCCTAGACTGCGTTTGTTTGTGAACATGATCATCTCTGTTTTCGATGGGTTTGCTGTCAGGTTGTGTGTTACACACCACTGTTAAACGATCTTCAGTGCAAGTCTCATTTGATCGCATATAACGCTCTCAAAGGGATCGCTGATGAGGATAGTCAGATCGTCTGCATAGCCTATTGTGAGGAATCTTCGGTCATTGAGTTGTGCGATTAGTTCATCCACAACAATGTTCCATAGAAGGGGGAGACTACACCGACCTGGGGGCATCCTCTAGCATTCCTTTAGTCGCTTCGCTCACAATAAATTGAATGGCTCTATATCTTAGCATCCTGTCGATCCACCCTGAGATTGTGGAATCAACACCATGTCTAGACAGAGCTTGGCTAATGCTGTTGAAATTGGTTTTGTCAAAGGCTCCCTCGATATCGATAAAGGTGGCCAGTGTTGACCTTTTGCTATCGCCAGGTTGTTCAAACTGATCGGTAGTCGCATGCTTTTTTCTCAAGTTAAAAAATGAAGGATGACGATTGAAAGAAGAACAGATTTTACCTTCGAGCTAACAATTCAATAAATTTGGCTGTAGAGATATAGCTAAAATATACATTTATGATAGACACCTATAACAGACAGGCGTATATAAATCTGACCCGAGATTAAGATTCTAAGTTATTATGTATTCTTAAGCCAAAACCGCAATAAATATGTGATATTATATCATATAATTTTGTAACTTTGTAAATTTGGATTTTTGTAAAATTACAAATTTCATTTAAGTGAAAGGGTCCGAAATATGCTTACTTTTTAAGTACGTCTTGTTTCTTTTGTTCGTCACTGGTGGGTAAACCCATTTCCTTTTGCCTTTGGTCATACATCATCTTTTCAACTAAGCCGCGGGTTTCACCGTCCAAATCCGACAGCTTTGATGGTTCTGAAACAAAAGTACAAAGAAATTTATACAATTTAGTTGTGTAACTGTTGCATTTTACTGCTATGAAATACACTAAAATACGGTACTAAATGCAGAGTCAAAGTCAGCTGATATGCCATGGACTCTTTTTTTAACTTAAAAATACCTTGCATAATAAAAACAATATTTGTGTGATCTTTATTTCTTAACAATTTGCTAACCAAAAGTAGTTTGACGAGTTGACTCATAGGAGCGTAAAAAGAAGACCGATATTTTAAAAATCTGAGATCATCAAAAACACCGACTTTACGTAAAAAATCTGTATAAGGTTTTTGTAGGTTATCTTAGTAAATCAACGTTGTTTTTTTTTCGTCTACCGTTATTCCTAGCTTGTTATCTACTCCTTTTCTTACATCGTTTTTAATACCGTGTAGGTGTATAAATAGATTTTTTGAGATTATACTGTTTTATATGTATACTAGCTGCGCCCTCACGGTTTATCAGATACAAAAGAGTAGCAAATATACTGCAATTCCTTGCTCATCCCATTTGAATACTACATTTTTTCGGAACAAAAATAGCCTATGTGTTAATCTAGAGTGTCAGCTACTTCCATACAATAATTTATCAAAATTGATCCAGCCGTTTGAGCGCCAAATAAGTACCAAACATTCAAACCTACACACTCACAAACTTTCGCCTTTTTTTCGGCGAGGGCTAACTCAAAAACAGTGCAGCGATCAACTTACTTCATCTTTTGTTGGACGGAGCACCATCAAAAACAACTCTATATGATGATATATAATGATGTGTATGATGATATATGATGATGTGTATATGATGCTGTGCGGGGACTACAAGCCCTGATGCAAAATAGTTCGTCTAGTGTGAAATTTTCTCTGTGAATTTTTTTCTAACTTCATTATTTTTGTATATCTACATAAAATATTAAGCTGTTCTACTATCATATGTCGCGTTACTTATGCCATTTTTTAATTGTGAACCTATAAACTATTTTAGCTTTTTAAATTTATACATATCCTGTTTTAAATTCGAAGAAGTTATAAGCAAAATAGTTCGTCTAATTGTTAATTGATGCAAAAGAGTTCGTCTATAGGTGAGTTCAATAACATTATTCCTTCTTTGTACAATTATGTTGCATAATTTTTTGAAAAGTAATTCTGTGTCATTTGTCAAGTGAGACAGTATAAATTCTGAAAATTTCAGTCTTTTTCATTAGTTTTCAAATAACAATGGGTCGTGGCAAACCCGTGTGTAAAGAGTTTCGAAAGCGAATAGTTTGTGGGATTGATGCTGACAAATCAAGTTACAAAATATCTAAAGACTTGATACTTCCCAGGTCTACAGTCCAATCTATCATTCAGCACTATAAAAAGAATAGAATGACTTCTTTGGTGAAATGGTCGCTTGTTTTTATTGGTATAAATGGACATGTGGCTATAGTGCCACTAGAGGATCGTAAAACGGTTAACTCTGAATGGTACACGACCATTTGTTTGCCAGAAATCTTTAAAGAAATAAGAAATAATAACCGACAACGCAGAATCCTTCTTCATCATGACAATGCCAGCTGCCACACATCACATCGGCCTAAACAATTCAGTGTTTGGAAATCAAAAGATCGAATTAACGGGTCATCCGCCGTACAGCCCTGACTTGGCCCCCAACGAATCTATTTATTTAGAAGTTGTGATACAGGATCTAATAAAAAGATCTGTCAGTCAGCGTTCGATGAACATACATTTTAAGTACCTAACTCACACATACGTATCTCTACAGGCCGTGATCGTGATAGTGTTTTGTATAAATTATTACGTGATGGATGGTTTCTAAACCTAGAAGTTAAGGTTAGCTCATGTTTCTTAATTTATTTTATGGGAAAAGAAAACAATTATTTGGTAAGTTACTATACAGACTTGTCGACTTAGATGCATAAAACCCTTTTTTTAAAAAAAGTTGAACCGACTTCAAACAACACCGACAAAGAGCACTAAAAATTAAAAAATAATTACAAATCTAAGTAAAAAACTATAATAAGTACCCTCAATGTAACAGGTAACATTATAATACCAATAGTCCCTTCTAGCTGTTTGAAGTCGCATAGCAACAAAACGTCTATCCGAATTATTTTAACAAGATAGAATACAAAATTTCAACCTTTTCTTCTTAATACAACGAAAATTACTGTGGTGAAATAAATACTGCAAGTTCTCTGCGCATCACATCGCGCAGTCTCTGACGGTTGCCATGGTTTGTTTGGCTAAAGAAATACTCGTAGCTAAAACACGTTGTGTGGGCTGTCAAATTCCCAATAATTGTGAGGGGTTCCCTCGATTTCTCTAGGATCCCATAATCAGATCCTGATTATGGGATACCCTTTCGATTACAAAAAGAATTTTGAAAATCGGTCCACAATTGACGGAGAAATCGCGGAACAAACATACATAAAAAAAAATACAGACGAATTGAGAACCTCCTCTTTTGTGTTTTGGAAGTCAGTTAAAAAATAGGGATATGTTGCGTAAAGCGCGAGTTTGCAACTTTACTCCATGGGTTCTGTCCGACCTTTAATTTTAAACTCATGAAGACATGCCGTCACTAAAATGGCATACAACAAATGTCCTTTTTTTTGGATTTTTTTATTCAGCGTTCAACACTTATTTATTTTCATGTTCGTCATATTAAATTTGACGTTCAGACTATTGCTTCATAAATAAATAGTAAATTAAAAGAAATAAAAAAATAATACATAATTCACGATAAAAATACTACTGCTAAAAACTGTATACAATATCGAAGCATGTTGTTCGTGAGCTATTAATTATCATAAACACTTGCTGTGAAGTTACTAAAACGCTTACCTGGGTTTATCTTCCTCGTAGATATTTCCGGGTCAGTAGTAACTAGCCGGCTCCACCAATTCATTTTATTGACCTACAACACAGTAATAATAAAAAATTAGCTGACCATACACTCAGGGGCTCATCATTACCTTAAATTGGTGTCTACAAAAACGTTCACCTTAGTATACTGACAAGTTCATTAAAATCTATACAAATAAAAAAAAAAGTGTATTTTTGTAATGTCATAATAACAGGTTTTTGCTAAATGCATCTGTATATATTTACATAGCACTTATAATTTATATTATACTGGCTATATTTATTATATTAGCCCGCGACTTTGTCCCCGTTAAAGCAATGCCGATTTTGTCAATCAATTTTGCTTCTTAATATATGTTTGTATTTTAATAAATACATCTTCATTGACCGAGTCCACATAGGACACGCTTAATTAGGATATACGATACCTAATTTCTTAAATTGAACAGATTTTGTGAAAAAATAGCACTCTATATCTTTTGGTAAGTGTAATAAAAAAATAAATACCTAGACCTATTTCTTAGCGTTCCATGGATTCACCGTGCGGGTGCCGGGTCCATCGGGTGATAGATGGGGGCAACACATGTGATTTCGACAGCGCCTGGGACTTGCGACCCAGGTATAAGTTTAGGGAGTACTCCTTGCGACGCGTCAGCGCTCACCTCCACTGTCTGCTGTGTTACCCCCTCTATCTAACAATATTTGATACGCGCCTACCAATGCCACTTTGGATATTCGTTCAAGAAAAGAGCTTACTGAAGCTGTTGGCAATCCAAGGTCTTTAAGCAGGTTATAGAGATATTTAGCCGGTATACCCCTTGCACCCACTTCCACGGCATACAACGCAACGACATAACCATTTTTAGTTATCTCGTTGGTTAAGTCAAAGTACTTGTTTCTTTTTAAAGCGTGGTCTTTAGGGATCTTAGTTTTCTACGACACCACGAGTTCTACTAGTGCTAAACGCTTAATTGAAATTGCATAAAGAAATATGTCTGGTCTGGAGGCCCAGGCACAGATCTCCACCGATATTCTGTAATGATTATCATACGTGTCCACTAATATTGTCCAGTCACTGGCGGTATTTATAATTGAGAAGTATTTTTAGTTGAGCCTTCCTTTACAAACGCAATTTTATTCCTTTTTTCACTCTCACCAGCGATAAACTTATAGCTACGCGTATGATTTGTAATACCCTATCATGGCGACGTGGTATTCGAGGGGTTTTGTATGTCCCTCTTTTGCTGTAACGTATTAAGTGGGTAATATTTAACTAACACTTTCCATAAATAACTATAATATCATAATAATAACTGACTTACACTTTTCATCTACTTTTGGTTAGTTGTACACAAATTCTGTAATATCTTTTATAAAGAAATGAGAGACGATACTCGGAATTTTAATAACGTACGCGTATACGTATTTAAAGAGGGTTCTGATAAAATCCGTTTAACCTTTTTGGAAATTAGTCTAAAGGAAAATTGACTTTTTTACTCTGGAACCCTAAACATTTTCAAATTAGGAAGTACCCTAAAATATAATCTGAAAAGTCCTTAAATCTACTAGTAAGTCTTGGCGAAAGACATACACACAGACAGACAGACAACAAAATGACAGAGAGACATATTTTATTTATAAGTACAAACATATAAATATAGATACTGGTATAAAATCAATTATTTAAATTTTTGTTCATATGTGTTTTCCCAGTTAAGGAAAGGGTGGACTGATTTCCACGGGGCTTTCGCTAGCAAATAGCTAGTGCTCTATGATACTTAGACTACCTTTATGTTGGAAATAAAAATTAGGGTTTCACGTCAAAAATATATATATGCATGTATGTACACGCGAACAAAGTCGCGGCTGGCACAACTAGTGTTTAAATAATTGTACGAAGCAATTTTAGAAGTGTTACAAGGTTTGTTTATGATGTATTAAATTAAAAAAAACTTACGAATATAAATTTTTCACTATAACCTCACCTCATTTGTAGAATTGAGATGTTTTTTAGCGTTCAAATAAAGCAATTTAAATACTAAAATATTTATCTTTAAATTCGTTCATATGATGATAAAAGACTATTCCTAAAAAACAATCTACGAACCTTTTCTAGATTGATGAGTAGATTGCGTCCATCTTGAAGAACCCATGTAGAATCTTCCATCTTGACGTCAGCGTCTAGCTCCCCGTCAATAATAAGAGGCTGGCCTTTGATACCCACTTTGAGATGGCGCTTAGCGATGTTCACCGTTAAATCACGAGGCCGTAGAACTTGTCGTAATGGTACGCGCAACTGTAGACAAACATATACATTCAGTCAAAAAAGTATCGGGAATGGGGGATGATTTGTTTATGGTTCCAAATTCTATTTTTTTTTTGTTGTTGTTAGATTGGCACAACTGTTTTCCATTTTGGCGCGGAGTTTGAGTTGCATCTGTTATTTATATTAAATACAGCACTGTATGTGTACTGTACTGTGTTTTTATTTAGATCATATCTAGTGTGTATTGCGCAAATTTAGCAAATTTTGAAATTTTGCTAGAACGAGTCAATTCCGACCCAACATTCATAAAAGGCATTGTTACTGGTGACGAGACGTGGGTTTACGAGTTTGACATGCAAACTAGTCAACAAACTTCGGAGTGGCGCTTTCCAACTGAACCGAAACCGAAAAAACCACGCCAAAGTCGATCAAAAGTCAAAGTCATGTTGACTGTTTTCTTATTACTACCGCGGTGTTGTGCACTCAGAATTCTTGTCGGAAGGTCAAACGGTAAATAAAGAATATTATTTGAGCGTTATGCGGCATTTAAGAGAGCAAATTCGAAAAAAAGGCCAGATTTATGGAAAGAAAATTCTTGGATTTTGCACCACGATAATGCGCCTTCGCACAAGGCCATCATTCGGCTCCAGCCGACTTCTTTTTTTGTCCTAAACTCAAATTACCACTTCGTGGCACCCGTTTTCAATCGGTAGAAGACATAAAGGAGAATTCGCGGCGAGAACTGAATTCCAGAAACAGCGTTTAAAAATAGTTTTGATGGTTGGATTATTTGTTGGCGTAAGTGTATCGTTTCTGAAGGAGCATACTTTGAAGGTGATAAAATAAATTTCGATTAATAAGAAACTAAAAATATTAGGCACCCCAGAAAAAGGCACAATTCATGTTTACTGATTGAACAATGAATAAATGCTTATTTTAGATGGCATGCCGGAGTCACAAATAACTTCCTAGAAAAGCAAGCAGCTATCTGTTATGGTCATAAAATACCTGGTGACTGAAAACAAAGGATTTGTTTTTATGCGTTCTTATCAGTCAATGTTTGGTCACTTGTGTTCAGGACTCTAACGAGTAAACAAGCTTTTATTTCTAACATAGTGATTAAATTGACGCGTAATTTATTAAAAAATGCCGAAAAGAAGTGAAATTAGTTTGGAAAACCGAGTAGTAGAGTACAACTTTTCCATGAACAAGGGAAGTCGCAAAAATAAATTGCTACGTTATTGAAATGTTCGCGTTGCGCTGTGCAATCTGCTATCAAACGGTTTGCTGAGACTGGCAGTCACGCTAATAAAGAACAGATTTGCTTTTAAGAGGCAGAAAACGTATGACTTCGAAGCGCGAGGACAGAAAACTAATACGCGAATCTATGAAAGATCGGAAGAAAACATCATTAGAGCTGGAGGCAAGAGGCTGGAAAGCCAATAAGTGCTCGGACCACCAGAAGAAGACTTGGAGAAGCAGGCTTAAAAGGATGCAAAGCCAGGAAGAAGCTTTTCAGAAGCTGACAAAAGAAAACGACTTGAATGGGCTCTACGGCATCTACTTGGGATTAATTAGCGCAGGCTATTTCTTTCTTAAGTAAAAATGTGGTGTGGCTAGTATGTTTTTTATTATTATTATTTTTTCTATTTTTATGTTTCACTTCATTTTCTCTTGTACTCGTTTTTTCTTCTTAATCTTGTTTTCTCTTCGTTGTTTTTTCACCTTTAAGTCCTTAATAACGGACATACTAGCACACATCAAAACAATGTTGTGATATATTTAATAGTGCCATTGTATCTACTTGTGAATTGTAAAAGAGTGGCCATGAGTTTGTTTGCCCTTTCTTCTCATAAGGCTCAACCCCTTGGAAACGGGCGGTTGTAGATCGGCACAGGCATATCATAGATTTTGTATGGGTTTGATTTTTGTTAAATTTATTTGGTTACTATTTGACAAAACAGAGATTGTTGCTTTTGTGTGTGTTGATCTATGACTTTAGAGTCTACATGGAAGACGATTTCAAACAATTTTGTAAATTTTATGAAATAAAGAAAGTTTGAGTTTGAGTTTACATTTTACTGAGGAAGATTGGGCCAATGTGGTATGGTCTGACGAATCTAACTTTGAGGTAAGTAAATTTTACTGCTTTTGTTATTAATAATCATGGTCAGCTATTTATTTAACTAAAATAATAAAAGTTAAGGCAGTTTAAAAAAAGTGTTTTTTTTTTCTTTGATCAACAGATATTTGAACCCCAGTTGTGACCTTCGTGAGGCGACGTGTGGGCGAAGAACACCATCCAGATTGCGTCGTACCGACAGTAAAGCATGGAGGAGGCAGCATAATGATCTGGGGCTGCATGGCTACTGATGGGGTTGGCTAAATGTTTGTTTGCGAAGGTCGTATGAACAGCGAAAAGTACATAAAAGTGCTTAAAACTGCGCTTATGCCTTCGCTAACTAGTATTTTCGGCGATACCAACTTAGAGGGAGTTATATTCCAGCAAGACAATGCACCTTGTCATAAGTCAGCGACTACGATGCGTTGGTTTACTGAAAACTACATTGACTTCTTTGATTAGCCAGCGCAGTCACCAGATTTGAACCCAATTTAACATCTTTGTAGCATTTTGAAGAGCAAGATTAAAGAGCATAGTATCACATCGAAAACGGCATTAAAAATGCGTTAGTACAAGAATGGCATGCCATTACAAGGGAGGATTGTACTAAGCTTGTACGCAGCATGCCAGCTAGAATTAGTGCAGTAATTAAATCCAAAGGTGGACCGACTAGATTTTAAGGTTTTTTCATTCTTTTTTGTGTAATTTAATGGTAATAAATAAATGGTTTTTTTCCTTTATTTTAAGTAAAATGTAGGGTGCCTAATACTTTTGGCCAAGGCTGTATGTACATAACATAGATAGCTTGGGTAGGTACGTAAATAAAGGTTATAAACAAGTCTAATAACGTTCTTTCACCCATTTATAATCGAGTGTGAGAGGGCTTTAGTAGTACATAAAATTAATAGTAAAATAGCAAATTCCTTTAAACTAAGTACTGCTTTGCCATTTCGGACCATTAATTGTATTTACGTCAAAGGATATAAATTATAAACTTAACAATTGTATTTAGGGTACCGCAGCTGATAATGAATAAAGTGCTCAAATGAATTGGTTGTATCGTATATGCCTTCTACACTACAACAGTAACCCGTAGTTGGAAAAGTGGTAACCAAGTAAAGGACCCACAGTGATCACTCGCACGTATTAATCATGCAGACAATCTGCATATTTACTCAACTCGATTGGCTTCTAACTGCATTACACCAAACATTTTTGTGATTATAACGTCAAGTCACTCAACCAGATAATTTGATAGCAATCGTTTGATAACAATTTTCTCTAATACCTATGGTCAAATTTTGGTCAAACTTCACTGTTGTCAACTTTGACAAGTTTTTAGCCAACCGAACACGTAAACTGTTGTGACTTCTCTTTATATATTAATTTTAAAAAGGAAATGGATTTGAATTAGGCTACAAATTTGAAAACGGCTACAAATGTCAGTACTCAGGTGAAACATAATCAATTTATGCAATATTAAACATGCGGAACCTTAGATGACACCAAACTCACTCAATATATTTTATAATGGAACAATAAGCGAGAGGTCAAAATTTCACCTTTACGGCTTAAAATTGATAAGGTGCAAGAAGTAGTTTTCTTTAATTACGTCCATATGACGTTAAGTTATAAATATACCTCGTTTTTTTTAATTTAGCATATCACGGTAATAATAATGATTGCAAATACTTTCACTTGTATGAGAATTTGTTTCACCTTGTTCGATAGGACGTAACTTTATACTTGTGGCAGACTTGAGCAATACAACGGTATTTAATGACGCGTGATACATAAAGGAAAAAGTTATATATGTATTTAAATAAGTAGACTTTTGACCTCCAAAGTGTAGCAATTGTAAATTGTAGTATGTTTACTTAGTTTATAATATACGAGTAAGTAGAAACAGTATTGTAAAAGACAGACTTACTCTTTTACAATGATAGCTATAGTTAATTTAGTAGCATCTAGAGAGAACCAATAATTAGTGGGGATGGATTTTAACAACATATTCAAATATGTAAATGTGTGTGTTTTGGTACAAACATACAAAAAAACATTGAAGCATACTTACAAAATTTATTTTGTTAATTTTGCGTGTGTGTGTGTGTGTGTGTAGTTGTGTGTGTATTTAAACCTGTACGTTGTAACAACAATAAAAAAGCTAGGTGACTGAGAAGAAACCGCGTACAGATAACAAACGCATAAAAATATCACGAAAACAAACAAGGTAACTGAGAAGAAACCGCGTACAGATAACAAACGAATTAAAAATCACGAAAACAAACAAGGTGACTGAGAAGAAACCGCGTACAGATAACAAACGAATAAAAATTTCACAAAATACAAGCTAGGTGACTGAGAATAAACCGCATACAGATAACAAACGAATAAAAAATATCACAAAAACAAGCTAGGTGACTGAGAAGAAACCGCGTACAGATAACAAACGCATAAAAATATCACGAAAACAAACAAGGTAACTGAGAAGAAACCGCGTACAGATAACAAACGAATTAAAAATCACGAAAACAAACAAGGTGACTGAGAAGAAACCGCGTACAGATAACAAACGAATAAAAATTTCACAAAATACAAGCTAGGTGACTGAGAATAAACCGCATACAGATAACAAACGAATAAAAAATATCACAAAAACAAGCTAGGTGACTGAGAAGAAACCGCGTACAGATAACAAACGCATAAAAATATCACGGAAACAAACAAGGTAACTGAGAAGAAACCGCGTACAGATAACAAACGAATTAAAAATCACGAAAACAAACAAGGTGACTGAGAAGAAACCGCGTACAGATAACAAACGAATAAAAATTTCACAAAATACAAGCTAGGTGACTGAGAATAAACCGCATACAGATAACAAACGAATAAAAAATATCACAAAAAC